TTGCAAACAAAAGCAAATTACACGCTGCTATTAGAAATAATTCGGCGAACAATGGACACGCCGTGAAGCGCCGGACATGCTGTAACAGGGACGAGAACGAGAGAAGGAGAACCGTCCAATGTCCAATGTCCGCTGTCCGCTGTCCGCTCGCCGATGGCCCGATGGACCCATTGTAAGACCCAACACACTGACAGCCGCAGTCGCTGTCGCAGCAGGCAGAGCATAAAGCGAGCTCTCTGTCTCATAATAATGCGACTTGAAATATCACCCAGACGGAGAGCCAGGCCGAGCCTTGGGCAGGTCCTAAAAGGTCAGAGGCATGCCACAGGCATAGGCGGCAGCTGGCACAAGTCATAGGTCTAGGGTCCATTCGAGCTGAGCTTCAAGCTCCAAGCTCTTGACAAATCTGTGCCTAGAAAGCAAAAGCAACAACAACAGCGAAACCCTGAGCAAGAGCAAGAGGAAGAGAAGAACTTTGTTGCCAGAGTACCTAACACATGTTCGGAAGCCTGGGCCAATGGAGCTTGTGTGCGTGCCACGGGCACACGATCAAATGACGAATGGGGATGGGGAGGAGCAGGTAGGGCTGGGGCATGACGACAACGACGACGACGACGACGACGGTGGTCCCTGCTCGGACGTTGGACAAATTCACAAATTTATTGCACCATTGTTAAGACGCATGACTTATGAACAGACCGTTTAGCCTGGCCCTGGCCTGGGCTGGCCCGGTCTGGGCTGGGCTGGAGTTTGCATGCTTGGAGCTTGACTTACCGGATTAGCGTAGAATGGTGGCTGATCGGCGGCGATGCCCGACAGGTAGGCAGACATGCCCTCGGGATAGACGCCGAGCGGCACGCCGCCGGGTCCGGCGACCAGTCCGCCGGCTGCGGCCAGGCGCTGATAGTTCAGCATGTCGTATTGGCAGGAGCATATGGTCTGTCCGCTGACGGGATCCGTGTAGATGGTGCGGCCGGTGTCACAGCAGCGGTTCGGATTCGGGTTGCCCGATCCGGGCGCTGGCGGCACGCCCGGTGGCGGACCGACGCCCACAGCTGGCAGCGTGGAGGGGCCGGCGCCGACGCTGCTGCTGCCGGCCGAGGCGGAGCCGTACGGCGTTACGGCTGATGCGCATGGCGAGCCGGAGCGTGCGCCCGGCGGCACTGTGGAGGTGACCATGCCGGGACCCGGTACGGTCAATGGCAAAGGCAAACCAGTGGGCAGGCCGGCGGCAGCGGCGGCTACGGCGGCGGTCAACGACGGTCCCGGACCGTGGCCTGAGCCGGAGCCAGAGCCGGAGCCGGTGGCGGTTGTGGGATTCGCTAGCGCTGGCAGAGGAGTCAACGTTGCTGTCGCTGTGGGCTGCGTATGCGGCGTCTGTGCGGCGTTCGAAGAGGGCGTGGTAGGCGATGAGGCAGCTAGGCGAGTTGAAACGGCATTCTGTAAAGAGCACAGTGAGAAGAAGAAGAGAGGCCAAATGAGTTACGAGACACACCAACTACTGCACTAGAATAGACAGTAGATTCGTTCTACTCTCTGTCTACTGTACCTCAGGTACGGCAGACAAAACTTAATTAAAATCGTTGCCCCCCCTTATCAATATCAATGCGATAAGCGCGCGCGTCTCTTGTGTACACACACACATGCACACACTCGCACTCACACATATGGAGACCCTCGAGCTAAAGCCTGTAGAGTACCCCTAATAGCCATCTTCGATTGCGTCCTAGGTGATCATCAAAGTGGGGCCGCCATTAACAACAAATCATGTTTTCGATTGACAACATTGATTTAAATTACACAGCCAACTGCAACGACAACTGCAACAGCAACAACTGCAACAGCAACAATAACTCTGTGTGTGTTTGTGTTTGTCTGTCCAATAACTGGGAACGGGCTTTGTGCATCTCTTGGTCCGTGCCCATGTTTTTTTCTCCTTTTTTTTTTTTTTTGTGCACATAAGCCTATCGCGCACTTTTGTCAACACTTTTAGTCAAGCAACAACTGCAGCAATAACAGCAACAACAACAACACACATTCGCACACATGCGGCATGCAGACACAAACAAGTTTTGAGTTTTATTTATTATCGTCTCTTTGGCTGCTTTCGTAAACTTTTCTCGATTTTGGTTTTCTTCTTGTTGTTGTCGGTTGTTGCTTGTTGTTTGTTGTTGTTGTTGTTGTTGTTGTTGTTGCTTGTCGGTTGTCGGTTGTCTTGCCCGCTTTTTTTCCTTTTCTTTTACAAATGATCCAAGGCTCAAGATTGGATTTTTATCGCCGGCCAAACAGTGAGTGATACCACAAACTAGGCAGAGATAGCCAGATAGACGGATGCACTGCCTCCTCCTCCTACTCCACTCCACGCCACTTTATCCCCCGCTCCATTCTATCTCTCTCACTCTCTCTCTCTGTCTGTCTGTCTGTCTGTCTGTCTCTGCTGTTGCTGCTGCTAAATGACAACTCAAGTGGCCATACGCGATTAAAAATTAATTCTCTGACCCATATGAAGTCCGCTTCAAGTTGGGTTATCAGTTGGCGCCTTTGAATCAGCCGCCGCGCTGCGATGTTTATCCGTGCCTGGTTGGTTGGTCGGCCATGTCTTCTACTTGAATGTACGAATATAGCGACATACACACACACACACACACTCAGCTCTGTCACTGAGTGTGTGCGAGTTTCTAGTGTAGCATCCAAAATGGAAGCGGCGAGCACTTTTCGAATATTGGAATAAACAAAGCAAAACAAAACTTAAGTCTTATACCAAAGTGTTAAATATCAACACACACACACACATACTCTCCCTCTCTTCCTCTCTCTCACTCTCTTTAGCTGTTTGTGTGTAGTTATGTGTGACAGAGGAATTTTTATCTAAACAGCGATTTGCATTTTTTTGCTGCGACTTCAATTCGGATTTTTTCGTTTTCAGTTTCGGTTTCGAATTCGGATTTGGTTTCGGTTTCAATTTTCTTTGTTGTTCTACAAGTTGCATTTCATATTATTTGTTGTTTCTGTTGCTGTTGTTCTGTTGTTATTGTTTTGTTTATCGCAAGCATTTTATGGGCTCTTTTCATAGCGCTTGTTCTCGTTACTTATTTGTAATTAATGTGCCAATGTGTGTGTGCACACGACTGTGCGTGTGTGTGTGTGTGTGTTGGCGCTGAAGTGTCAAGTAGAAGTTGAATTGATTACATTTGAGCAAAAGAGGCAACATTTACTTGCCATATTTGTCACTCTTATATAGATCGTATTACCAGACATGCACACATGCACACATGCACACGCACACACACACTCACGTATAAGAAATGTGCATTTTAGTATAAGCATTCAAGTATAAGAGCAAAACAGTTAAAGCAGCCGCAAAGTATTTGTCGCTTTGCCTGTATTAAGTTTGCAGTTATGTAGTATATAGCCCCTCTCCCCCTCTCTCTCCCACTCTCTCTCTCTCTCTCTATCTGTGCTTTTGTCCATCTCCCTCCCCTCGCCCAATTGGCATCATGTATGTACAAGAGGCAAAACACAGCAAATACGAGTGTTCGAATGTAGCATCCAAATGTATGGCTGACATTTGGGGATTTCGAGTGGATTTGGCAGACATCGATTTGAAATTTTCTTTTGTTACTGATTTATTTTTAACAAAATGCTTGCACATTGCGATCCCATCTTCTTCTTCCTCTGCTGCTGCTGCTGTCGCTCTTCCTCTTCTACTTGTTTTCTATACGATCTGCCTCTGTCAAGTCCAATTGCTGCAACTAACAACATGTTCAACATGTTGCAAATTGATTTGGCCAACAAATTCTATATAAACGGGTATATAGTATGTATATATTTTCTATAGAGCAAAGTTTTAGCAAGGAAGAAGGAGAGAGGGAGAGGTAGGGCAGAATTTGAAAGGAAGACAGACTGATTGGTTGACCAAGTTATGTAAGTCCTCTTTATCTACCTAAAGAAAATATCTTTCTACAAAAAATATATATTCCATCTTATGCATTTATTATATTTTATTTTGTTTAAATATCTATAATATATATAACATTCTTTTAATAATCTGCCAGCGAAGTAATATCATTTTTCAATTCGTTTCCAATTTGTTTGCCCGACAAATTCCATCTCAAATCTTTCGAATTTCGTAGAAATTCCATCTTTCATCTTATATAATGCAGCTATACATAATTACTATAAAGCAATTGTAAGTGTTTTCGCGCTGATCTTTATTTCTGTTGAATAAAACTCTCTACTCCACATGCAATAACAGTTTTATAAACTGTATAACACTTCCTTGCAGAAGCTCTCTGCTTATTGTTTCCTAGAATCTCTAATCCTAAAACCTTGCATACGAGTCTTCGTTCACAATATTAATAGATAATTGCTTATGCCAAATTTCAGCGAATGTCTATAGATCTTGATCTTGGCGCTTGTCGGCCTTTTTCATATGCAACTAATTGCCGGATATTAAATAAATAAATCAAGATTGTAATCTTAAAACATTTCCTGTCGGATATTAGAGTCAATATTGTAGAATGATATTCTTATTGTTAATATTGATTCTACGCAGGCATAATCATCTAAGCCCCATAAAATACCACTCGATTATAAGTTAAATAAAATCTCATTAAGATCAGGTACAGATTTTCTAATAGTTTTTATATATTGATAGCATCTAGATAGATAGAGGATTGAGCTTTACGTACCATTACTAAACAGACACCGGTTTCATTACTGTGCACTGTCATTTAATTTCGGTTTGCTTTCCAAGTTTGAACTAATAATTATTTATGTATTTTTGAAAAAAACGCACGGCACGAATCGAACGGTAGCAAACGCAATTCGAACACACAATTTTCCAATTCGTTCGAATTGGGAAACGATTTTTGCTTCATTAACTAAAAACTTCTTGCGTTAGTTGTCTCCAAAATCTTGTGTTTGCAATTTCTTTAATCAACTTTGATCAATTCCGTAATTATTTTGTATCCATGTAGCACTCTTTTTGTGTGTGTGTATGTGTGTGTGTGTGTGTGTGTGGGTGTGAAACACTTGTATTGAAAAAACTTGCGCGAATTTGCTTTACACTTTTTTGTTGGTGCGCATTGCCGACGGTTAAACGATTGAACGGTTGAGCAATCCCAGAGTCGGGAACAGTTTGCGATTTGATGGGACTTGAACTGCGAACTACGTGGCTCGAGAATCTTAGCGCCTGCTGCTGCTTGTTTATGCTTATGCCAGGTTACAGTCACCGCCGCCGCCGTAGACGAGGATGGGCGAAGACGAAGACGGAGACGGAGACGAAGCTGGAGTCGTAGTCGGAGTCGGACTTGCAGTCACAGTTGGAGCTGGAGTCGGAATCGGAGTTGGAGTCAGAGACGATGGCGATGGCGATGGCGATGGCGTTGGCGTTGGCGAAGGCGAATCCAAAGGCAAAGAGGCGAAAGCAGCGAGCCAATGCAATGCGAAAGTACCGTACGGGCACACTGAATACGGTATCGAATCGAGCGAGGCGAGCGGCACGACAGGCACTAGCGCTGCGGGCACTACGGGCACTGGCACTGGCACTGACAGAGGCGCTGGCACTGCTGGCACTGACACACAGAGGCAGAGGCACAGGCACGAACGGAACGAACGGAACGAGCTGACGAACGAACGATACGAACAATCTGCGTAACAGCCAAAAGTAGACTAACATGAGTTTCTTGAGCAAGTACAAAGTGTACGACAAATGGGAATTACACGACAACCGACAATCGAAAAACAGCGAAAACAGCAACAACAACGACAACAACAGCACTGGCAGCAGTGCCAGCAGTGGCAGCAGAGGCAGCGAGCAGCAGCTACAAGCAGCAGAGCAACACACAGATAAGCCTCGACTCGTACACAGATACGCCGCCTGCGGCTGTGTGTGTGCGAGAGAGCGTAGCGCAACGGTTGGCAAAACTCGTTTCTCCCCTAATTGTGTGCGCTTGTGTGCGTGTGCGGCTCTCTCGCGAGCTGTTGGTGTGCGTGCGTGTGCGAGTGTGTGCGAGTGTGTGTGTGAGTGAGCTACAGCAAAAGCAGAAAAAGTATCAACGCTAACGACAACAACAGCAAGAGGAACAGCAACAAAAACAACTGCGACAGCGACCGTAACAACGGCAATAATGATTATCATTAAAAGTGGGCTGGCTGTTTGTCACGCGGCCATGGGTGCGAGCGAGACGGGCTGCTGAACTGACTGCTGAACAACAGCGAGAACCGGTTGCGTCACGGCAACAGCAACTGACTGCTGCGGCTGCAGCGATAGCAAACGACAAACGGCAAACGGCCAGCAGCAACATCTACAACAACAAGGCGAGCATACAAAAAGTATCTGCTGCTGCYGCTGCTTCTGCTGCTGCTGCGACCATAAATAAAGTATCTGCATTAAGGTGGTGCGCGCGAGCGAGATAGCATGCCAGAGTGCCCACGAATCGCATTCGCTCAGCATGTTGTTGCTAGCTGGCTGCTGCCTGTTGGCTGTTGGCTGTTGTCGGCATCGTGTGGACGCGCCGAGYGCGGCAGTGGCCGTCGCTGTTGCCGTTGCCGTTGCCGTAGCCGTAGCTGCCGCGTGTTAAGTGCGAGCGAGCCAGCAGAACATGAAAAAATTAACTTAACAACTAGAAAAATGGCTGTTATTGCGTGTTGTTGTAAATGCCGATGTATGTATTTGTACGCACTGTTGTTGCCTTTGTCGTTATTGTTGTTGTTGCTGCTGCTGCTGCTGCTGCTGCAGCTACTACTTGCTGCTGCTGCTGCTGCTGCTTCTGCTACTTCTGCTGCTGCTGCTGGTGGTGCTGCCAACTGGGGGCTTGGAACTGGATGTCGGTACGTGTGTACAAGTATTTGTTGCCATAAACAACACGAGCTGCGAGGCGAACCGCTCGCCGTAATGGAAATAAGAAAAACTTGATGAACATGAACAAAATTCGTGAAAGGGGTGGGCCAACGTTTCAGTTACTGCTACATCTACAACTACAACTACAGCTACAGCTTTAGCTCASTAAGTTTTTATCATCCTCTGCTGCTGCTGCCGCTGACCATGCTAGCTGGGCTGGCGGACTGGCCGACTGGCTGTTGCTGGATTGGCGGCATCTTCCGCGCTGCTGGCGCCGACTGTGCCACCGATACCGATGCCGACACCGACACCGACACCGCGACTGCCACTGCCACTGCCACTGCCACTGCCACAGCCACAGCCACTGGCACAGCCATAGCCACAGTCGCTGGCACCGCAGCTGCTATTGCATGCGCGCTTACATTTTATTACGGAGATATTTGTTTTTTGTTTTGCCTCCCTCTTTCTGGGCTGGGCGGGGGTTGGGTTTCTTTAACTTTTTCTAATTAATTGAAACGCCACTCGTGAGGAGTGACGACGACGACGACGACGACGCCGACGGCTGGCCGCGACAAGCAAGACGAGCGAGACGGCTGAGACAAGCGCGTGCGAGTGAGATGGCTGGTGCGAGCGGGATGGCGCTTGGGGAGCGAGTGAGAGCGCGCTGTCGAATCGTTTTTGTAGCTACATTTAAGCACACACACCTAGACACACAAACACACACACACACATACAGAGAGATGTACGTACACATGTACGAATGTATCCAACATATGTATGCCATTTGAATGGGAAACGTTTGCCGCTGCAGCTAAATTTCATTTTAAGCTTTATATTGCCACCCGACATCGCGGCCCCCATACATACCCCGCCACGCCCCCATTGGCACTGGCACTGCTCGTGCATTTTCCACCCCTCGGAAAAGCGCTACTGCTGCTGCTGCGTGGTGCGGGTGTCGCACACGCCGAAAACAAATTCCTACAGCATTTAAATGAAGTTACTTTGTTGTCGTCATGTAAGTGAGTTGGTTTTGCGACAGCCTCAGATACGTTTAAGTTACCGCCCCGCACCACCACGCCCCGCTCTGTATCTGACAGCAACTCTTCTTCCTCTTCTTCTACGCATCCTGCCAGTTTCTGCATCTCTATCTCTCTCTCCATTTCTCTGAGTGTGTGTGTGGCAGCTGCTAGTTGATGTAAACAAAAAAAAATCTAGTTGATGATAATGTTTCTTCTTCATTGAACAACAACACCTCCTAAACTCTTTGACCATATATTGTAGCTAAACATTTACGCATAAGCTTATAAGCGTTCAGGACTTTGAGATGGAATCTGCGAAATTGACACCTGGAAAACAGGTATTCTACAGTTTTGTTGAAGAAATATCTAATATTTTCATAAATTTCTTGTTATCCGATATGTTTTTGGCAAAAATATTTAAGCTAACTTTAAACCAACATTTTAAAAAGGATTAAAGAAAATAATGATATACCATGGCATGATAATAATAATAATAATAATATTGATATATATGATGTAATAGTGATACAAATATAATGATGACAATTCAATCATAATAATAAAAATAATAATAATAAAACAATAAGAATAATGTGTTATTTTTCTGTTGCCAAAATAATACATAGTCTGAAAATTTCAATGAAAATAATGAAAATTTCTAAAGATATCGGCTGAGGGATTTTTGTGGTTTATAAAGAAACATTTTTGAGTTCCTGATAATGCTTTCATCCGAGCGTAAGACATAAGATAAATTCCCTGATCTACAATTCCTTAAACTATTAGCGCTTTACATAACTTAAAAGGCTTTTTTTTTTTTTTTTTTTGGATCTTAGTGAGTAAAAAATGTCTTAAAATACTAATCACATATTGATCATTCATTCCTATTAACTAATATTATACCAATAACATTTTAAAAGCTAAACTTTTATTATATGCAGCCATGGAGAATTTCTAAAATTTATTATCAACTTAAGATTAATATGGAAAATAAAGCAAAATGATGATATTCTGTTTTATGTGTGCATAGATATAACTATACGTAGGTTCCTACATCTATTAAGTAAGGTATATTTACATACATCTATATTCCAATATTCAAATTTATTCATCTAGTAAATTTGATTAAGTATACCATATTCCCCCGGTGAAGATAAATTGCCTAAGTGACCCATTCATTGAAGCATGACTCTGATCGCAGCTCGAATTTCATTGTCTTTTATAAATGGGATAGATTGATAGCTTAGATCTATAAATAGTATGCGTAACTATTAGAGAACATTTAAGAGCACAAGAAATGTCTTTTTTGATCTTCAGAAAATTTTCTAGGCTGTTCAATTCCATAAAGTTTTACATGAAGCTGTCATTTAAAAGTTGATTAGATATTACATAATTATATGAGAATTATGAATAGTTTAGTATAGTATAGTATTTAAGATAGATATTTTAGATAATTATATTAGATATATGAATAGTTCAGTATATACTTCAGAAATCAACCTTAATGATCTTCCAAAAGATCTTCAGTTCCACTCTTCTTCAAGCGCATTTCGGCTCGTGTCACAGTCTGCTATATGAAAGTCATCTTATCTTATCGTAAGACCCTAGCTCCTACTCTCATTTGAATAAGAAATTCAACAAAGTTGCATCCCTGACACAAGAGAATGCTAAATTATAAATAAAACGTCTGATTAAATGATCCTCGCATCAGTCTTGCCGCAGGCCGAGCTGAAATCTGCGGCAAGTCGAGCTGAGGCATATCCGTTGCCATATTTGCATACATCTTGCTCTGCCTCTGCCCATTTTTTCGTATTTTGTTTTTTGGCAGTTTTGGCAGTAATTGGCCTGCGGGCAACAAATTCAGATCACGTTAAGTCATTGGCGAGGGCACAAAATGCCGTCGCGGTTGCCACAGAAGCTGCAGCTGTAGCTGGATATGTGGAGAGCTGGAGACGGCCGCAGCAACAGCCGCAGCTTCCACCACAGCGACATTTGCTGCGAGATGCTGGGTGCACTTGGGCTGCAGCCGGGGCGGGGGTGACAGTGGGAGGGACGGGCGCGGGCAGGCCACATCTCTTGAGCGCAGGAGGCGGGCGCTCAATGGCGCTATGGGAGCCGCAGAAAGAGAAAGCTTCGCTGCGAAAAAGCAATGCTTGAAGCTGGCGGCAGCAAAAGCAGGAGGGCTAGATTACTGCTGGCAGGGCAGCTGCCACCCGCGGCTCCACTGTGCCAGCAACAGCAACAGCGACAGCAACAGAGCTACAGATATAGATACTGTGGTAACATCAGTAACAGCGAATGTCGCAGTCGTTAGTCGCAGTCGCTGTCGCTGTCGCCGTCGTCGTTGCCGTCGCAGTCGCAGTCGCTGTCAGCGTCGCAGTCGCCAGTCGAAATCCAGAGGAACAACGCAGTCTTTGTTTAACGATTTTTATATTTCGAACACGAGATACATTTGTATCTTTTGTATTTTTCTTGTTGCCACAACTGCAGCGTGCGTATCACTGTATGTATGTAGGTGTGTGTGTTGTGTATCTGTGACTCTGTTGCTGTTAGTTGCGCTCGTATTGGTGGCAGCTTATGCCTTCTGCCTTGCCTGAATTGTTATTGTTGTTCTTGTTCGTGTTCTGTCGTAGATATCAGCAGCAGCAGAAGCAGCGGCAACAGCAGCGGAGGCAACAACGATTGCTGCTACCTCTTCCTTCGCCCCCCACTCGCCCTCACCCTCTCTCCGCACTCCGCACTCCTCTCTCCTCTCTCCTCTCTCCTCTCGCTCATTGCGTATGTGCCGAGTGTGTTTGCACAAAGCCAATGATGATTGTGAGCTTC